GGGTTAATGTTGGACTTGTGGGCTTGGGCAGCATTGGGTTGGGATGTTTTTGTGATGCACATTTTCTTTACAAAAAACTCTCTTATACATGAGTTGCTGTGGATTTGTTTCTCCAAAGTACCTAGACTAATACAATAGTGATTTTAGATTTTCGGTGTATAAAATATCAGAATGTAGTCAGATTAGCTTACATTCTTCAATTTTATTGTTTGTTTAAAATTAATTGAATATTGCATCAATCTAAAAATTACTTTTTGTATCTCTGAAATCAGGATATATCTTACCATTAATTGGCAAATTTTTCTACCTCGGTGGTATAAAGAGTAATAATATGCTTTAAAATTGATAACACCTTAGGTTTGATGAAACAGCATTTGACAGATTTTTTTTTTCAGAAATGAAAAAGAATTTTTGTTGCTTGCATGTTAATTCAAATGAGCTGATTGGAAGTTTAGCATGATGCCAACTATGGAAAGGCAGTTTATTAATAAGCATAGGTTGATATTGATAACTTAAAAAGTACTTAACTCCTTTATTTTACTAATGTGAAGACATAAGTTTAGAGAGATTAAGTTACTCTACATAGATTAAGTTACTGTATATATACTGTTAATAGCAGAACTGTGGCAATATTGCTCAACCACATTCTAGTTTGGGTGTCTTGGAACCTTTTTACTAAATCAGCACATTGAAAGATTATACAACCATCATGGTGAACTGCAGGAACCCCGGTGGTGAAGTGGGTTACATTTTGGGCTGCTAACCTCTATCTAGGTCAACAGTTCAAAAGCACCAGCCACTCCTTAGGAGAAAAATTAGGCTTTCTACTCCCATAAAGTCTCAGAACCACAGAGGCAATTCTACCCTGGCCTATAGGGTCCCTATGAGTTTCGGTCAACTGGATAGCAGGAAATTTGGAGTTTGTTGTTGGGGTTTTTTAGGTTCGTTTTGTTTTGGGGGGTGGGGTGGTGAACTACTATACACCTTCCCTCTGCCTACTCTTTTCAATTTGCTTAGGACTATTGCAGCAATTACTTTATACCCTACAAGCTGGTTTGTAGGAAACAATAATTACATATCTGAATTATTCACTAGTTGTTACAGCCCTATAGGACAACACACTATGACCACCTCACATTATAAACCCTTTTGGTGTCATCAGTGGCATAACCAAGCAGATGGAAAGAATTAACTGTGTGCAGACCCACTGGCTGCATGAGTCTCTTCTACTCTTGTATGTAGGAGGGTCACTAAAAAGAGGTGATTATTAAAGAAATAAAATGTTAGTTATAATTCCTGACAGCAGCCTTATAAATAGTGCCATGAAGAACAAAGAGATTTTATAATCATATAATGGTATTGAGATATTCAGATAAAAATAGTAGCTGAAATGAGAAATGATAGTCCTGTTCTTTTGATCCTTAAGACACATACATGCATATAACATTCATTTAAAATGTATATTTGATTTAATTTAAATACTTTCATTCCAAGGAAGATTCCTATAGCTTTTCCTTTTCTTAGGGAGCTGTACCTTCTCCCCAGTTCCCATTTCTGTGAAAAGTAGAAGTAGCATTGATCTTGAATTCGCTTTAGATCTCATTCAAGGGAAATGTAGGTAAAAGAGAGTGTCTGACCGTAAGTGGTATTGGAGAATAAAACAGGTTGAAGCATAGGACAGAGGAAGGCTATGAGATTAGGTTTTTACTAATATATGATAACACTTGATATTCTAAGAAACTGACTGAACGGATTGTAATGTCAAAGCTTTTAGAGCATTGGTTACTGTCCGTGAGCTGGTGACCTTCAGTTTGAGAAAATAATATTTTAAATGATCTCTTTAGGTTAGTGACTAAGAAAAAAGTGAATTTTTATTTCATTTGTTTTCTAGGCTTTTGCATTCTGATCGAGATCCTATTCCAGATGTTCCTGCAGTGTACTTTGTAATGCCTACTGAAGAAAATATCGACAGATTATGCCAGGTAATGTGAACATATATTTTCTTGAATCTGGAAACAGATTTAAACAAAACAAAAACAAAAAAACTTGGATGTCATTGCTATTCAGATTCCAAAATTATCTTATTTGTTTTTCCATTTTGATTTCTGAGACTTTCTTTAAATTACAGATAGTCAAAACATTTTATATCTTTCTAGCTGAGAAGCATATAGAAGACCTAACTAAATTCGCTATAAAATTAGCATTTAATTTTCTGAAATAATATTGTCTGGGAGTAGGAGGTCCATGCTGGTCCAGTAGCTCTGTGTCATGAAGGACCCAGGCTCCAGTTGTCTTTTTGTTGTACAGACAGCTTTGTACTTCAAGATCGATCGTGGAATGTCAAATGAATGCAGTGCCGTTCCTCTTGATTGTGTCACTCCCAGCATAATGAGCCATATGATTTTCTGATACAAAATGGCCAGTTCCAGTCCAGTGCAGTAGCTCACTGACACCTTTATGCGTGCCACTTCATTCATTTTGTTGTACCGTCTTTAATGTCTTAACTTTTCCTTGTGCTTGTTGCTTCATGGTAACTGCCACTATAGTTATTACATTTGTATTTTAGCCAAAAAGAATGGGGAGTAAAGACAGTGCCTGCCCTAACTGTTCTTTTCATCAAGAAAGCTAAAACTTTCCCAGAAGCGCCTCGAATACTGCCATTTATTATGTTGCACTGTATAGAATTAAATGCCCGGGAGGCTGAGAAATTTAAATTTTGCCATGTATATTGCCCCTCAAACAAAGTCCTAGATTATTTCTGAGAGAGAAGAAAGACTGGATATTGGATAGACCAGCTACCATGTCTACCACAAGTTACAAACAATTTTACTTGTTAATCACCATTGAATAAAATCATTTAAGTAAAAGTGTGTAAATAGTCAGGGTCATATATTTTGTGTTCTAAGTAGCTTAATGATAGCTAGCTTCCTCCCCCCCCCCCCCCCCCCCCCCCAGTATAATTGGAAAATGCAGGCTTGCTAATAGAAACAGTACTGGAGAGATTGCATGATAGAATTTTGTAAGACAAATGACTTGTTCAAACCCCTTTTTTCAGTAATATAAATGGCAGCTATGCTTGTGGAATACACAGAAATTTAAATAGACTACATCAGAGGTAAGAGGTGATGGAGAAACAAAAGGATATTGAAAAGATGGGAAAGAAAGAAAAAACCAAAATGGCTATCAAAAGGGACTCTGAAATATGCTTCTCAATGTAAAGAAGCTAAAGCAAAAGGAAGAAAGGATTAATTAAAAGATAAAGGGGCTCAATAAAAAATTCAAAGGGAAATTGAAGAAGACAAAATATTATAATGAAATGTAATGAGATGTGCAAAAGCCTGTGTTAGAAAACTGAAAAAAAAACAAGTTCAACATTTCTCAAGCTGAAATAATAGGAGGGGAAAAAATTCAAGTCTCCCGTTTGTAATATTGAAAGATTCTGTGGGTAAAATATAAAGCAACGTAGGAATCATCAAATGAAGATGGAAGTTATATACAGAATCAATGTTCCAAGAAGAGTTGGTTGACTTTCAACCCTTTCAAGGGGTAGTGTAAGATTCAGAAGTGATGGTATTGAAGAAACCCAAGCTGCTCCGAGGCATTGACCAAAAAAGGTGCTAGGAATCCACAGAATACTAACAGTATTTCAACAAACAATGCAGCACGGCAGGTGCTAACATGTCTATTCCGAGAACTTTGCAAGACGGCTACCTGACTTGAAGAGATACATATTTGCATCCCTCCCAAAGAAAGGTAACCCTGCAGAATGTGGAAATTATCAAACAATATCACACACAAATAAAATAATGCCAAAGATAATCTCGCAGTTGGAGCAACACATAAATTATGGGAACTGCCATAAATGTAGAGGCGGATTCAAAAGAGGATGTGCCACAAGGAATATTAGAATATCATTATTGACATCAGGTAGATCTTGACTGAACACAGAGAATACCAGCAAGATGTCTACTTGTGTTTTATTGATTATGCAAAGGTATTTACTATGGGGCTCCAACAAATTATGGATGACATTGTGAGGAAGGAATTTTCAGATCTCTTAGTTGAGCACATATGTTCAAACAGAACCAGGGGATACTGAATGGTTTAAAATCAGGAAAGCTTACGTTAAGGTTGTACCCTTTCTCCATATTTTTAAACTGTATGCTGAGCAAGTAATCTGAGAATCTGGACTGTATGAAAAAGCGACGGCACAGGCTCGAAGGAAGGCTTAGTACCAGCCTGCGATGTGTAGCTGACACAGTGAAAGCAGAGAGTACTTGAAGCAGTGACTGGTAAAGATAAAAGCATATCCTCTTCAGTGTGGAGTATAGCTCTGTGAAGACGGCGAGGATCCTCACAACTGGACCAGTAGACAACATTGTGATAAATGGAGAAAACATTGAAATTGTTAAGAAATTCATTTTGCTTGAATCCACAGTCAGCGCAATGAAAGTCAGTAAATCAAACGATATACTACAGTGGACAAATCTGTACAAAACCTCTGTAAACTGTTAAAGATCAAGATACCACTTTAAAGACTTAAAGTATACCTAAGTAAAGCACTGGTATTTTCAATTGCCTTAAATGAGTGCAAAAGCTGAACAATGAGAAGATCAGAGAAGAATTGAGTGCATTTGAATTATGCCAGAAGAATAAACGATTCTGTCTTGGAGGAAGTACAGCCAGAATGCTCTTTAGAAGCAAAAATAGCAAAACTTTGTCTCATATACTTTGGACATGTTTTCTGGGTAGACCAGTCCCTGAAGAAAGATTGTGAGGTTATAGGAGAAACAGGCAGTGTTTCATTCTGTGGTACATAGCTTTACCGTGCATTGAAACAGCCTCTGTAGCACTCAACCTCAAAAAAACAGATACCACTATGCCCTTTTCAAAAGAGGTTTCATTCATTTCACTCTTCATTTTTGTTAACTTTATTGAGATAGAATGCATGTATGTATAGTTCTCCCAGTTAAAGTATACAATTCCAAGATTTATATTTATAGACTTATACAACTATCTCACAGTTCTAAAATATTTTCGTCCTTTGAACAGAAATCTCATACTCTTCAGCTGTAACTCCACAAACCTCACATACTGCTCTACACGTTAGACCCACTGATATACTTTTTGTCTACAAATTTGCTTATTCTGGACATTACATGTAAATGGAATCATATAATACTTGATCTTTTGTGTCTAGCTTCTTTCACTTATTATAATGTTCTCAAAGTCTTCTTACAATGTTCACCCATGTTGTGGTGCTTATCAATATTTAGAACCTTGTTATGACATAGTATGGGTAAAACATGTTTTATTTATCAGTTGATTGCCTTTTGACTATCACGAATAATGTGCTATGTACAAGTTTTTGCGGACATATTGTTCAATTGTGAGAGTTCTTAATAATTGATTACACCCTTATCAGATGTAGGATTTGCAAATGTTTTCTCTAGTTTTATGAATTGCCTTTTTAGTCAAATCATTTTATTTGAAGTATAAATTTTTAAATTCTGATGAATTTCAGTTTATTTTTTGTTGGTGATTTGGGTGTTGTATCTAAGAAACTTTTGAGTGTTTTTGTTCTGGATATGTATTTTTTTCCCCAAGTGATATTTCTATTATTGATCATATGATTTTCTTGTCTTTAATTTTATTAGTATGATGTATTATATTACATTATTATCTAATATTACATTAATGTATTAACTTTTTAATGTTAAACCAACTTCATAATCCTGAGGTGATTACAGCTGGTTTGTTATTAATTCCTTAAATACTTTGATAGATTCATTTTGTTTGTATTTAGCTAAGTATTTTGACATTTGTGTTCATAAGGAATAATTGGATTTTTGTTGTGATCTTTTGCTTTTGGTGTCAGTGTAAGGCTAGCTTAATAGAATGAATTAAGAAGTATTCACTTATTTCTTGGAAGAATTTGTGAAGGATTTGTATTATTTAAACGGTTGGTAGAATTCACCTATGGAGCCACTAGGCCCTAAACTTTTATTTATGGGTAATGATTGTTTTGTGTTTACTCCTGTAGCCTCTTTACTTGTTATAGGTCTGTTTGGGTTTTTCTAGTTCTTTGAAAGTCAATTTTGATCATTTATATCTTTCCAGGAAGTATTCCATTTTACCTGTTATTGGAATATAATTTATTTATAGTTTTCAATTGGTATCACTGTCCTTTTGTTTCTGATGCTAGCTATTTTAATCTTCTTCTTTTTTGGTTACACTGACAAAATATTTGTTAATGTCCTGGTCTTTTCAAGGAACCAACACACATTTCATAGCTATGTATCCTTCTATAAACATCTCCCTTTTCACCAACTGCCCCTCCTCTTCTCTTTCTGTGTGGGTCTCTCTCGCTGTCTCTGCCTAACACAGGATTCATTCTATTGTTTCACCCTAACAGATTTGTTACTTCTGTCTCTGGTAATGAGAAACCTTCATCCAATTATTTTCAATATATTAACTTATTTACTTATTTCTTTATACAAAACCAATCTCCCAACCTCTGTGAAGCTACCACTCTGTTTAGCCACCATCCTCATGCAGACTCTAATCCTATTTCATATTTTATTATCTCTGGAATCAGATGCACCTTAGAATTGATGGAATGTCATAAAATGTAATGGTTACAATCAATGAAATCTTAGGTTTGAGGAGTACTGTAATTTAGATGTCTATTACTGTAGAGATAAAGGAGATAAGTAAATCTGATTTGTTTGCATAACAGCCATTCACTAGAGTGAATTCCATTAATTTTAAATAATTGAGAAGAACTAATGAAATTGATTATTTCTGAATTATAATTTGTCCCTGAAGGAAGTAATTTATTTATTAATTTTTTAAAATCATTTTATTAGGGGCTCATACAGCTCATCACAATCCATACATACATCAATTGTGTAAAGCACATTTGTACATTC